TCCAAAAACGGACACCCTGTATATCTAGTATCAAAATGACAAGTGGTACACGATTGTGCGATGACCACGTATGGTAGAAGCCCTGTATATATAATTGCGAGTGTAGTGGAATTCAGAACGAGCACCCTGCATAGAGGTATACAGGGTGATCCACGGTGGATGGCCTATTAGAAGTATCTGGAGAACGAAAATGGGGATGCTTTGATAATTGAACATTCTCTATCCGTTTAAAATATTTTCATCGATACAGTGTTGCCACTTCTATCAGAAACAACTAGCGACTTTGTTATTTCAAACGGAATACTCTGCATTTCATTGCATTTTTAGATTTTTCCTGAAGAGCTCATTTCATCGATGTATCACAATTGGGGTCTAGCAGAAATGATAACAGAGATATAGGGTGTTCAAAATCGAGATTTTTCAATTTTAGGATTTTTTTTCGTGTCGAAACTATTCCTCATCGATCAAAACGTCTTACATGTCCCTATCTCAACTTTTGATTCCTATCTACTGGAATTTAATTGAAAAAAATACAGGGTGCTTCAAGATTCAGAATTCTGTATCTGTTCCAATCAAATATGCCAGTAGATAGTGAATCGAAAGTTGAGTTAGGGACATGTAAACCGTTTTGATCGATAATGAATAGTTTCGACAGAGAAAAATCCTAAAATTGAAAAATCTCGATTTTGAACATCCTATATCTCCGTGATCATTCCTGCTAGACCTCAAGTGTGATACATTGATGAAATCAACTCTTCAGGAAGAATCTAAAAATGCAATACAATACAGGGTGCTCCATTTAAAATAACGAAGTTGATAGTTGTTTCTGATAGAAGTATGGCAACACTGTATCAATTATCAAAGCATCCTAATTTTCAGAATGCTCTGTCTTTTCGTTCTCAAGACATTTCTATTAGGCCATCCACCGTGGATCACCCTGTATAGTCTTTCCAAAGTCAGTTGGAGAATCTTGATTGGGACCGTTTGAATTTCAAACGGACCGTCCGCGCGCGTCGTATGTTTTTAACTGGCACTACTGTAATAGAATTTGGAAAGACTACATACACCACTTCAATACAAAAATATAATTATTGCTGATTTTTCGAATTACCTTCTATTTACATTTTATATTAAAATTATTTCATAGGATTCGATTTTTCAACTGGTTGAAAATTGATAACGAATTGATGTATTTTGAACAAATTACAATAACATTACCTAACTACCTATACGCATAACCTCAATAAATCATTGTTTCAACTTAATCTCACCTAAATGATCTATTTATGAATACTCAGCTAATAATTTCAGAATTGGTTGGAAGCTATTATACGAGTAACAATTAGTATAAGTAACAAAAACTCACGATAAAAAATGATGCATTCAGAAAATTATAAGTGGTGCTTTGATTGAGAATGATACAGAAGTATATACATATGAGATCGTTGGGCGGCATCACACACAATTTTACATCATTTTGTATGCATGAATACAGGGTGGAATATGATTGGGGGTCATGAGAGGAGAGCAGGAAATTTCAAAAATAAATGAATTCAACCTTCTGACAATGATTTTCAAGATTGGTTTATCTACTCATCAATTCATTATAACATGATAGTGAGAATATGATACGTTCGAGGATACTTTATGCCCCTCTCCCTATGAAAAACACCCTGTACCGAGGATTCGATGAGCCCAAGGTGGATTTAGAATGGTGCACCAACTCCCCCTTACCAAACACGAGAAAAAAATGTGTTGACTTTTTACTAACTATGCCAACTTTTGATAGGTACCATAGCAAGGTTTCGCATAGTCAACATCACTTACTATAAAATTCATGAATGTTGACGGCCACAGAAGCCAGAATGGAGCTGTCAGCTACTCGTTACTGTCAGATGTAGAAAGTGGAATTGATCTTGAATACAATATAGTTATCGATTGCATCTGATATATTATGTCATATATTACTATCACTACAGAGCTCGAATTCCTATTATGTAATACCACAACTGATACTATTTCCAGGAAAAATATAGTATCACGAGTTGTATTCGTATGAGTATTCCATGCTTATTGAGACAATAAACGAGCGGCTTGCGAGAGTTGTGCACACTGCATCCATCATTCTGGCTTCCAACATAATTGAAGTTAAATCTCTGGTAGTAGTCCATGCTCAAATTGGAGGTGATGAGATAATTAAGAGAACAAACTCAAAGTCTCGCTCCAAGTAAATTATAATCAAATAATATATGCTATATGCTACATGTTTCGACTCCTAGGAGTCATCATCAGGCTAAAATACAACACTTATAAATGAAAGAAGTTCCATCACTATTGGAAAAGGGGTGACATACCTTGCTAGGTAGGAGGAGAAAGGAAACTATAAAATTGAGAACATAGTTCTTAAGGCTTTTAAGCCCAAAATAATTTCAAGTAACATTTTTGAATTTTGGTTTTTTGAACCCCCAAATAAACATTTTTCTAAGAAGCTTCTTTTGGATCAGATAAACATTGTTTACAGCAAATGGCGCGGTTATGAAGTGAACAAACCGACAGACTACTTGATTTGACAGATAAAAATTATTATTCGACAAACAAGTGACAAATGTCATCTATCAAAAACACAAAACATTGAAGTTGACTTAATGGACCATACATCAAAATTCATAACAAACAAAGAAATGTGTCTAGATTGACTAAGTCGGGTATTTAAAATTGTGTTTTTTTTTTTTTTTTTTTTTTTTTTTTTTTTTTTTTTTTTTTTTTTTTGAAATAGGAATAACAACGTTAAAAAAGGGAATTGCCAATGCAACCAATGAATGGAGAGGAAGATTACAAAATGGAATTGAAAGTGGATAGGCAATCAAATCTAACTTGTTCATTAAGACAAACAGTTGAATTTGAATGGGCAGATCTATTGAAATCCTAGAAATCAATAGATCTGCCCATTCAAATTCAACTGTTTGTCTTAATGAACAAGTTAGATTTGATTGCCTATCCACTTTCAATTCCATTTTGTAATCTTCCTCTCCATTCATTGGTTGCATTGGCAATTCCCTTTTTTAACGTTGTTATTCCTATTTCAAAAAAAAAAAAAAAAAAAAAAAACACAATTTTAAATACCCGACTTAGTCAATCTAGACACATTTCTTTGTTTGTTATGAATTTTGATGTATGGTCCATTGAGTCAACTTCAATGTTTTGTGTTTTTGATAGATGACATTTGTCACTTGTTTGTCGAATAATAATTTTTATCTGTCAAATCAAGTAGTCTGTCGGTTTGTTCACTTCATAACCGCGCCATTTGCTGTAAACAATGTTTATCTGATCCAAAAGAAGCTTCTTAGAAAAATGTTTATTTGGGGGTTCAAAAAACCAAAATTCAAAAATGTTACTTGAAATTATTTTGGGCTTAAAAGCCTTAAGAACTATGTTCTCAATTTTATAGTTTCCTTTCTCCTCCTACCTAGCAAGGTATGACACCCCTTTTCCAATAGTGATGGAACTTCTTTCATTTATAAGTGTTGTATTTTAGCCTGATGATGACTCCTAGGAGTCGAAACATGTAGCATATAGCATATATTATTTGATTATAATTTACTTGGAGCGAGACTTTGAGTTTGTTCTCTTAATTATAAATGAAGTTTTAAACGTCCGAATTTTTATCGCTTTTAAGGTTGGTCACGTGTGGGTCAATTCGGCTTCTGTATTTGCTGTGGTTGACTAATCTCTGGTATTTGTAGAGCAAGTTCGATAAAATTCAGTTAACAAAAAAATATCGTTGCATTACAGAAGAAATCGTGAAAATAGAGACCAAAAGTGGAATAGTCATTTAAATTTGCTCGCCAGAAAACGCTTCTCGAATCAGTATATCCCAAACTGTCGTTCATGACATCGAGTTCCTTGGTATATATTTCCAAGGATCCTAACTTTCGAACTTACTAGTGATATTGAATTAGTTGTCATAAGATCAAAAGTCATTCATTTACGGGATAGCGCTTAGATTTAATGAAGCGTGCGTATTTAGTACCTGTCATAAATATAATGTCTTACACACTCTTGTTTTTGTTTCTGAACCAAGAGGCATGACTACAGAACTCATAACCTTTATATCTTACGACTATATTTCGTAGAGTAACTGGATGGTATAAGTTATTATCAATAATGCCATCCAGTGACTCTAGATATCCGTATCTGAATGGCGGGCGAACAAATCAAATCATGCATCAGCTGCAACACTGTAAGCGTTGATTGATATATTACGCTTACGCTGGGTAAGCGTAATATATCAATCAACGCTGTAAGTGAACCATAAACAGTGGCGGCGTTAAAATTCGTAGCGAGAAGTAAATGGACGCCAGTGGCGTATCTCGAAGATGAGATGAAAGTATAATTATATGAATTTTCAGTAAATCAGAAGATGACTATAGAATTCCAATGGGAAATTTGGATGATATAAGTAAATGAATATGGTGCTAATTTTTTTGCACTTTACATATCTGATCTTAGTTTTCGAGAAAGGAATTCACTGCAAAAATATAGAATATATTTGTAACAAGCACATCTCTCATATTATTCTTGCTCATTTTATAACATATTCAATTGCCATAGTTCGTGGTTTAAACTCGGGTTTAAATAAGTATCATTCCACTGTATCAAATCACTGACTTCCTTTCGAAAGAATTCTTCCACTTCAAATAGACACTGGAAGGCTATAAAATGTTTTCAGGCGAGCAGTTTGCATGAGATTTTCACATTACTGGAATACTGGAATGAGATATATTCCGGTAGGCAGTAGTTTGGTCAGTGGATGCAACAGATACCTATTGCAGATATGATCAATTGATTTTACCGATAATATCGTCATATCTGCAATCGAGCCTGAGAAACTTCATTTTTACCGCGTTCTGTCAAGGTCTAAGAACGCTTGAAAAAACAGTTGAGAGTTGCTACACCTTCTTCCTCTTATTATCGACGAGACCTATAAAAAACGAACAGTTTTACGGATACACATTCTGCAGCACATCACTCAACAGCGAATTATACGAGTCCCTCAGCACGAATATATCCTCTGGCTTCCCATTGAACGCGAAACTCCCGGGCAGCCTATGCACCGTCGAATCCTGCAGCGGCTTCTTCTGTTTATGCGGCTTGGGCAGCGCAACAGGTGGGGCGGCCTGCGCATGCGCAGGGAAGCCCTGAAAGGCGCCCGACCACTGATACACGTTGCTCGGCTTCCCATTGGCCACGAAGGACATGGGCAGGTTGACGAACGGCGACACAGGCGGCGGGGCAGGATTGGAGACGTAGCCTAGGCCCGGCACGTACATGTAGGGCTGCGGGGGCAGCCGAATGTAGTAAATGGGCGAATTGTACTGCTGCGGACGGATTAGCGGCTTAGATCGAGGGATAGTGCGCCCGAGGTCGTTCTCTTCCAAGGCCATGGAGATGTAGTCGTCGTTGTCGATGTTGTAGGCGGGGTAGTCGAGTTCCGGTTGAGAGTAGTCCAGGAAGGAGAAGTGCTTGGGTCTGCGGTCTTTGCTGGGGTCTGAGGCTGGGGCGGCTCGGGTTAGGTTGATTATTGCTAGGGAGGTGAGGATTCGTATGGTGTGCCTCATCTGAAACAATGGAAAACGTTATTGTAAATACGACAAATACGCCTTGCTGGTAAGTATAGTTGTATATATTTTTTTAAATGTTCTAATTCCCACGAAAAGGGATATCCTGTAATGTTCAGAGAACATCGTGAGAACCAAGGGAAATGATGTAGGAATTGGTGTTCATCTTAAATTTCTGGAGGTTATATGCCTCGGGGAACACCTTCCTTGGCAATGTGTTCCAGAGCCTTGACCACGAAGGCGTGCAAAGCCTCAACTTGGCGGGTTAATCTCGCGGGGACTGCCAAGGGAGGAACAATTGTTGATATTCCGGAAGAGCATCGTCCATGAAAATATCTATAAAATAGAGCCAGATCGCCAACTTTTCTACGGTGTTCCAGAGAAGTGAGTGAGTTTGTGAGCGAGGCATCACCAACGAGAAGAATTGCCTTTTTTTAGACAGAATCCAATAGATTCTGGGTATGTTTGGGTGCTGTACTCCAAATATGGGAGCAGTATTCCAGGACAGGTCGGATCTGTGCCTTATAGATCATATCGAGTTTGATGAACTGTCGAATAGAATTATGAAATTTCTGGACGAGAAACTATATTTATAGCAAAGTAAATGTGATTGACACACCGAGATAAATATTTATTAGGTGTTATAGGAAACTGTATTATAACCTTCAAAAGATTTCTGAGTTGAATAGGCGCCAGCATAGTTCCTTTCTTACTGTAATCATGTCCATCATTTCAAAAAAATCATATAACTGTGAAACAACACTTATATGAGAATAACATGACGCTCATATAGGAGTCTAATGATTAGTATTTCAATATTGAATATAGTGATATTATGAAAATTGAATAATACTCATATCAATGAAATTCTTCTCCAAATGACATTGAAAGGGACTTCCCAATGACAAGGTTACTTTTACTGCCTAGACAGAAAAAGTTTGTTGCTATGCAACGTTCCAAGTAATTTGAATCAAATTGGTAATCGAAATTGACAATGACTTTGGGTGAACAAAAAATAATGAATTATTTGGAATTTGCGTGAAATTGAGAAGAATTTGGAGAAAAAATTATATGTTTCACATGACAGAAATGAAGATGTAATGCCTTGGCTGGTTTCCTAGCCTCGGATACGCCTAGGCTATGAAACGCCAGCTGCGGCATTGAATCTTGTTCTTTTCTGCCTAGTGAAACGAATAACTATTGCTTTCAATTTAAGAGTCAAATGATTGGCATTTCAGTATATTAAGGTGATTAACTTTTTTCCAGAAAAACGATGTGGGTTGAAGATGTCATTTTTTTTCTTTTTTACCACGCTTATCTAAGGATGGTATGTGTATGCTTGAATGTTTGTAACGGGATCTTCGAACGTGATATTGACAATTCAAAACTTCGAATCAAATTGAAATTTCTCACACTTATCAGATACCTTCGATTTGGATACTGATAAGAATAGCATAATTCAATAAACTGCTGATCAATTGAACCGCATCAAGCACATTTTTACACTAAATTCAACATTGAATGTTTTCTCGACAATTCGGATGCTGTTTTTTCAATTTTGGAGATAAATCCATTGGGTGTACGGCAGAAAGACCTCTGATGGAAATACATGGTGACACCTGGGTGTCAAACAAACATCTGCAAAATATTTTGAAAAATTCTCCATGCTCCCAATTTGATGAAAAATTTGTGAGACTTTATGCAATCATATTTTTATAACGCTCAAGCATATTTTTCGAAATGGTTTTGCAGTTTTTCTCTTTCCTCTTCTGATCCGAATGAAACATGTTATTTTTTCTGCAACCGAAAGAATCGACTAAAATAAATATGTGAAGTAACCACCAAATAATGTTACTCACTCGACAGATTTTTAAAATTCCTTCACTACAATAATATAGGTAAGTAGATAGACGCAAGACCTCAGATTACTTTACATTATAGAATATTTATGGACGATGACTTTACTTACAATATGCATCATCAAGATTGAGAAATCTGATCACCCTGTATCTGTTCCCATTAAATACTATACCGATAGATAGTGAATCAAAAGTTGAGATAGGGGCATGGAAGCCGTTTTGACCGATAATGAATAGTTTCGACACAAAAAAATCCTAAAGATGAAAAATCTCGATTTTGAACACCCTATATCTCAGTAATCATTCTTGCTAGACCCCGAGTGTAACGAATTGATGAAATCAACTTTCCAGGGACAATTGACAATTCAATGAAATACAGGGTGTTCTATTTAAAATAAGGAAGTTGATAATAATTCCGGAATAACTGAGGAACAAGCAACATCGACGATAACATTTTCAAATCCACCACGTTTTGAAATCACCCTCTATATATATTCGAAAAAATTTAACAAACGGTTACTGAGATATTCACCTGGTTCCATACTTTTGCCCAACCCTGTATATTATGAGCATCATAAAAATATAATTGAAAAACATCCAGACATTTTCCTATCAAATTGGTAGCTTACAGAAATGTTTTCAATATTTTGCAGGTTTGTTCGACACCCTGTATTGGCAGATGCCACCATGTATTTATATCAGCGGTCTATCTGTCTTATAATCAATGAATTCATCTTGGAAATTGAAAAACCGCATCTGAATATCTGAAATTTTTGCAAAAATATTCAATGTTGAACTTAGTGCAAAAATGTGCTTGATACGGTTCAATTGATCAGCAGTTTAGTTGTGTTTTATTATCCTGATCAGGATCTTCAGGATGAGCGATGTTTCTCGAATAAAATGGTGAATAATCTGCCACCAAAATCACAAATTTTCTAATGCTCCGCCACCAAAATTACAAATGCTCGTTTGACTGTCCGTATCATCATCGGCAAAAGTGCAATATAGCTCGTTATAATTCATTTGTCGATGGATATTTTGCACTGCCTATATACTGAAAAATCCAAAATCACAGGCGTTTATTGCAGAAATAATTAATAATCATGAAATATCTCCTTTTGCGTATATGAAGCAAGAATGGGGTTTATATTTATTTAGTTTACAGAATGATTCCAATTACAAACTGAGAGATACAGGAAGAAAAATGACCCTGAAAACACGGCCAACTATAGACCAATTTCAATTTTGAGTGTATTCTCTGAAAATTTACATTTTATCCAAATATAAGATACTCACAAAATGCCAACATGGATTTCGTAGTGGAATATCAACTGAAACGAGAAAACTCGGCCAAGTAAATTGTTTTCTTGAAAAAAAGTCGATTGTGACAAGAACATTTTCACCAACGGTAGGAAAATATGGTACTTGCAGTAGGCAAAACTATATTTCTGGAACGAAGTTTCTGCTGTAAGTGATCAGAACACTTGTTGGTATCAACCAAGTCGACATGTACTTAGAGTTCGCTAATTCTAAGTGAACACTAAACTAGTGCTAGGTTAACGAATACTCACTATTATTAAACTATTTTTCTGATATAAGATCACTTTCTCTGAGCGAACTCATCAATAAAGACAATCTATCAAGTCGATTGTTGCAGGTGACAGCTCACCTGTAGTTATAGATCTCTTTTCCGTTCGGACATCTCCGATATTATTCGAGTACCCACGCCTCGACCCACGCCCAACGCGATCACTGTCCAGTGTCCACGAGTCCACGGCGTCATTTCGATCTTAGCATTCGTGAAGTTAGTACACTTGCGTTCCCGCTAGTAACATCGAAATTCCAAGTCATGCAAGTGCCCTTTCGAACAACTACTATATCATATTCGTATGAGAATTCTCTGTTTGTGAACCGTGCTCTGTGGCCGTGCTCTGAGCTGTGGGGTGTTGAGTTCTTGATCTGTTCTCTTGAAGGAGATAATGAGATACAAAACTCTTCTAGAACAGTACATAATTGTTTCTACATATGTACAGGATTTTTTTCCACTCCCTATGATACTCGAAGTGGAAGGAAGTGACGTTTAAAAAGTATGAAAGTTGATTCATCTTCAATGCTGGAAGGAAAAAGATAGTGAACCAGAGTGCAGTGCAGTGAGTGAGAGTACCGTTTTTCTCGGTGCATGATGCTGATATACGCGGTATCTAGTATATCAATATTTGTAGTCAGCCTTACCTTTTTTGTATTTTCTGGATTCATCATACCTATATTATAAAATGTTTTGAATGCATGTGTTTTTGTCTTATTACCAAGATTTTATTATTTTTCAGAGAACAATGGAGGTATTTTTTCATACTAGCTAATGACAAGTAAATAAGTCACTATTGGCAAGTAAATAAGTCACTGATGACTAGTAGATAAGTCACTAATGACATGTAATTAGGCCACTAATGACTAGTGATTAAGTCACTAATGACTAGTGAACAAGTCACTAATGACTAGTGAACAAGTCACTGATGACTAGTGAACAAGTCACTAATGACTAGTGAACAAGTCACTAATGAAAAGTGAATGAGTCACTCATGACAATTGAATAGGTCACTGATGACAAGTGATGTGTTCACTAACCGTTATCACTGTGAAATTTGATGAAACAGGTCAATAGTGGTAGGTGTACATTTTCAGAAACACAAATATTCTTGTGGTTATTAACTTGTTTCCTTGTCCCATATAGTATACAAGTTTTTACTTGCCACTATTGAATATTCACTTAGAATTAGTGATTTTTTTTCTCAGCTTAATTGAATTTATATATTTCAGTATAGACAAAGGAAAACATATAGCTGGACTTTTTTTTAACCATTTTCGAGCTTTTGATCCCATTTCATTCAATTTCATTCGCCGTGAATTATACAACTTGGGAATCAGAGGGATTTTTCTTGATTGGGTCAGTGATCTTCTTGAACATAGACAGATGTTTGTGAATGTCGAGATCCATTATTCCAGTAAACAGACACTGAGCATTGGGGTTCCACAGGGTTCAGTGCTGGGGCCACTACTATTCTTATTATTTATCAACGACATGCCTGAGCATATTGATGCTGAGCTGTTAGCACTATTTGCAGATGACACTTCATTAGTTGT